TATGATCTCTATAAAAGCTAAATATATTGAGCTCACAGGCAGAATGTATTGAAACAACTTAAAGATTATAGGTCTCCCAGAAGAACATGACAAATCAAGAACTATGAAAGCCACAATGCAAGAAATAATACAAGAAAACTTCCCCAAATTTCTGAACATAGAAAACAAAATGCCAATCTAAATAATCCACAGATTGCTGCCAGAAGAAAAAAAATCTTATGATGCAAACTCCAAGGCACATAGTGATTAAATTTAATAATTCCAATGATAAACAACAAATTCTTCAAGCAATCAGGAGAAAGACCTTCAAATATGAAGGAAAGGAAAGTTGAATAATATAGGACTATTCTACCCCCACCAGAAATCACAAGAGAGAATGGAACAATGTGTTTGTAACAGCAAAGGAACTCAGGATATACCCAGGTAATACAAAAATGCAAAACTGAGCCTTAACCATTAATGAAAAAGATGGAGGCATTTGAAGCAGTTCTACAAAGAAAATAAGAACTGAGCAAATTTTGGCTTTGTAAACATCCCAGACAATAGAAATATAAGCAAAATATAGAAAAAGAAGATCCAGAAGGCACAGAAAATAAAATAAATTACCTCGGGAAAAAAAAGAGAACACATTTAAAAGAGAAAGACACTTCTGGCATTAACAACAAAACAACATCAAAATAACAACTGAGACAAAGAGATTTCTCTCTAAAATTATAAGAAAAAGTTAGTGAAGGCAGCAAAAGCCAGCCAAAAGAAATACTGATGGAGGAACAAGCCTGAAAATGCATTATAGACCAATCTTAGAACACCCCACCTACAGATAAATAGTAATAGTTGCCTTAAAGTAGATTAAGCTAAAATAACTGAAGAGACAAATTATTGCCTTTAGGAGAAAAAAGGAAGATAAATTATAATTCAGGAGAAAAAAACAATATCAAAGCTAAATGGAAAAAATATAGACCTTATTTTCATAACTTTTAATATGAACACAAAGAATGACAAACTAGATAAGAAAACAAAACCTCACAATCCTTTGCTTACAAGGAGCATACCTTTAAAAAAAAAAACATAAATGAGAGAATGAAACAAAATTTGCTAAGCATTGGGTAAATCTGAAAAATCAAGAGTTGCAATCATATTATTAGTCAAAGCAAAAACAAACATTCACAACATAAAATAAAATAAAATAAACAAGGAAACTATATTATGGTAAAAGGAACCAGGGACAACAAACCATATCAAACTTTGTACTAGTGCCATAGCATATAAATTCATAAAGGAAAAAATTAACTGAATTACAAAAAGACTTAGACAATACCACAATAGTGGCAGATTTTAATGTTCCTCTCTTGGTTTTGGACAAATTTTACAAAAAGATAAACAAAAAGAAACATATAGAACTGAACAAATTGATATAGAAACTAGACCTGAGACCTATTGCATCTTTCAAATGGGATTGATAAAAAAATTATATTAATTTCTCAGTACCAGATAGAATTTTAACAAAAACTGACCTTGTATTAAGGCACAAAGATATTACAGGCAAATATAAAAACTAGAAATAGCAAACACATCTTTTCTAGACCATAATGCAATAAAAAGAGTAATCCATTCAGAGACCACAAACAAAAGACAGACTTAAAAGGAGATTTAATGATGAAATCCTAAATAATGAGTGGGTTAAAAACCAAATCACAAAAGTAATACTTGTGTGAAAGAAAATTATAATGATGAAACAAGCTGAATTTTTTTTGAGATGTGATTAAAGCAATCTTCAGGGGAAAACATAAAAATATACATTAACAAAATAATAAAGGTGAGAATTAATGAACTTTTAAAAAATTAGAAAGCCAAACAAATAATATTAAAATAAGCACAAGACATATTAAAAATTAAAGAAGATATAAACTGTGAACAAAAAAATTGAAATGATAAATAAAACTAAAAGCTGGTTCTTTGGGAAGATTAATAAAATTGATAAATTCTTAGCCAACCTGATTAAAAAGAAGAGGGCAGAAAATTGAATCAACAAAGTAGCAAAGGAAGATGAAATCACAACAAAACCAGAAGAAATAAAAATAATTATTAGAACTGCTAAGCATACTTATGAGCTAACAAAATTAAGTACACAAAAGAAATAAAGGAATATATTCACAAATACAAAATAGCCAAAAGAAGACTAAGTAGAATAATTAAGTACTATAACCACAGAAAAGGAAATAGAACTGCAGTTAGTGGAACTCCCAAAGTAAAAAATTCTTACTCCTTATGGACTCACAGGAGGATTCTATCAAATCTTTAAAAATAATTAATACCTATACTAGCCAACTTCTTCTCAAAAACTGAAAAAGAAACCATTTTGCCATGGATCCTTTTATGAGATAAATATAGTTCAAATACAAAAACCATAGAACAATAAAATGTAGGAGAATTATGAACCAATTTCAGTAATGAAAATCAATCAATTTTTTTAATTTTGTCAAATGGACTACAGTGAATTATACAAGAAATCATTCATTGTAACCCAGTTGTACTTACAATAAGAATGCAAGGGTGGTTGAACATCAAGAAAAGAAAACAATCAACAATTATTCATGTTAAAAAGAAAAACATCCAAACCCACATGATTAACTCAAGAGATACAGAAAAAGTCTTCAACAAAAAATAACACTCATTTAGGAAAAAATGAAACTTTCAAAATACAGGCATGGATGAACTTTCAAATATCATTAAAAGTATCTATCTAAAACAAAAAGCAAATGCTATATTCAATAGGGATGCACTAGAAGCTTTTCCAATAAACATGGGAGTAAATCAAGTAAGGATGCCTACTCTCTCCACTATTAGTCATTATAGTTTTAGAAATGCTAGTAAAAGCAATAAGACAGGAGAAAGAAATTAAATGTGTAAAGATCAGCAAAGATAAATAGACAGATAGATATAGATAGTTAGATCCCTATTTGCCGATGACATGATGGTTTACTTACAAAATCCTAGCAAATCAGCAAAGATATTAATTGATACAAATAATATCTTCGGCAAAATCTCAAGCTACAAAGTAAACCCTCAAAAATCAATAACATTTCCATATAATAATTACAAAATCCAAGAAACAATAATATAAAGGGAAATTCCATTCAGATAACTATAAAATGTATAAAATATTTGAGAATCAATTTCCAAAGCACACACGCATGTGTACACATACACACATACACACTATACATATATATATATATATATATATACACATATACACAATTATGATACAAGGTTGTCATAGGAGAAACATCTACCTCAGATAGGGTCAGATAGTTTTTTCTTAAAAAGTAATTGAACTATCTTTAACACTTAACTGATGGAGTAACTAAGGCTGAAGCCATTAATGTTGCTTCCTGATCCCCCTAGGTACAAAAGTTAACAAACAGATAGTAGGTATTCCTAATACTTGACACACATTTTTGAAAGGTACACCACCATGGCAAATGCTCAGTAGGGGAAAATGCACCCAACTAAACCAATGCTGTATTTTTGCTAACTATCCTTTCCATCACACAGTTAAGTAAACCTTTTGCTAACTACTAAATAATTTTAGAGCATCTCATTTCATTTCATTTCTGAACCTGAACTCTTGAACTGGTCTGAGGCAGACCTGACCTAGAATGTTTGATGTTAATCAAAAGGATTGGAACAAAATTACTTCATGGCTGACATCATGTTTGAAGTAGGAGAAGACAATGAGGAGGAAGAGACCAAGGAGATGGCATGCTCTGGAATGTGGGAACTTTACCCGCTGTGTCCACAGTGCTTCTGGAAGTGCTGTTCTGATCAAATACCTCAAAATCTGGCAGCTGGACAGGAAGAGTAGGTAGGGACTGTCTTCATAGAATTAAGAACTAAACTGCCTACGAACATTTAGCAACTAAAGACAGATTTGAATATGCTCTAGGTCTCTAAGAACTATGCCTAGAAGATTACAAATGTAAAATGTCACTCATTGAAGTTGCATAGCTTTGTTTTGGGGGTGATTCTGATTTCCAGACCAATCTGGAGATTAACTATCTAGTCCTGGGTGCTTCTCATAGGCTGTTAATTTGGAGATTTTCTAAGTTCTGTGCTGAATAGATTTCTTGGGACATTTTATATGGCACCCAGTTGAAACTCTTCAGGACAAGGCACTGATGAGGGCACTTAAAAAATATTTCTTGCATCTTCCGACAATTCCAGAAAACTTTCCAAAATAAGGAATATGGACAATGTGCCAAATCCACCCAAGTGGATTTGTAGAGAATGTGGGAAGAGACTGTGTTAATTTAAAAGCAGAGACAGCTTCTGCTCTTCCTCTAGCATTGTTAATTGCAACTCTCTTCCCCACTGACAGGCCTAGGACACCCTCTCCTACTCTGTCTGAAGAGATGACAGAGTAGGATAACACATGGCAGTTAGAACACACGTACTGCACTGGATAAATATTTAGCCACCTTTTCTATTAATGACGTAGATTTCCTAAGATTTGTAATACAAGGATCAAAAGATCCACAATGATACAAAAAGTAATTTTAGCAACATCAGGAATGAACTGAGGGAGAAAAAGAAACCCATTTGATCCTACCAGAGGAAAAATTAGGTTATGTGAAAGCAAAAGATATAGCTAGTTCTGCTATACCACAATATATGTGGTTCACAAAAAGCAGCAAAAATTCATGCAATAAAAATCTTAGAACTTGTGGGGAAAATGGAGTTAGAGGCACAGTGCTCCAAAACCTCATGAGTAACACACAGAAAAAAAGATAGCAACTTAATAAAAAAAAAATAGCAGTTTTATGTTAAATGTTATGTTAAATGTTTAAGAAATACATAATACAATAAATAAAATTTTCCTTAATAAATCAAAATGTTCCCTAATAAATCAATCATGTTGGAACAAAGTCTCATTTTTAAAACACAAAAGTTTATTTTAAAAAAAAAGTTTAGCTTCAGTCCCTCAGGTTCCTCCCCAGCCAATGTACTTCTTAGTGAAAAGATTACTCCATTGTTGCTTATTACCTGTGTGACCTTGGACAAGTCATTTGACCTCCCTGTGCTCCAGTTCTCTACATCTATAAAAATGAAGAAATTAGATTAGATTACTTCTAAGGTTTCTCCCAGCTCTCAAATCTAAGATTCTACGAAATACAATTTCCTCCAGTCACTCTAACTATTCTCACCTCTATTTCCTAAATCTCCCCCCCCCCGAAGGTGGGATATTGTAAGGATTGTTTGTCTCTCCCCCTTCCCCCCAGTTGCTCATTGCATCTTGCCTTGGCTCAAGCCACACTTTACTCTCCAGTTATCTTTTCTTCAGGTTCCATGACATCCTATGGACATCTACTTCCCCTCCTACCTCCACCTTATCCAGTTCTGGAACTATAATCATAGGATTATCTACTTACAGTTGGAAGGGACTTTAAAAACAATCTTGTTCAACCATCTCAAGGATATGAGAAACTGAAGTCCAAAGAGATCAAGTGACAGAATCAGCAACTGAACCCTTGACTCCTACCCACCCCCATCACATCTACTCATCATCTACTCATCTACAAACATCCCTGGAACTTTCCAGTTCGAAATATAGCTGCCTGGCCACTACTCCCCTATGAGTGTTATAGTGCTTGGTACATAATAAGTACTTAATAATTTTTTAAATTAATTCATTCATGCAGGCATACAATTCAGATTTTGTCCTTTTCCGACAGTGAACGACCACCCTGTGACATATTAGATTATAAAGAATGTGCTCCTTGAAAAGATTCTAGATAGGGCCTTGTCCACTGGATGAAAGCAACTGGAAACACACAGAACATATCTCATGATTGGCTGAGTGGATAAACCTTATCCCTGACATATTTTTTTTAAGCAGATGAGTCAGTTCTGGAATAAGTTGAGAGAGGAGCCTTGGCAATTAAGAGGAGATTTGAGGGGTGGTTTCAGCTTTTATATAATCATTCTTTACCTTTTTCCCTTGCCCCTCTTGTAGAGTACAGCATGGCAATGGATATCAACATAAAATCTAAACAAAAAATGCCTTAAGTGTTTGCAGCACCAAGTTGACTATTTGTGGGGAAAAAAAATTCCCATGTCTGTTATTCCTTACTTTATGAAAGTTTTTAAAGCAATGGTTACTGCTAATTACAAATTCTCATTTATTACCCCATTGAAAATTAGAAAACACTCTCCAATAGATTATTTGGTATACTAACAAATGCATATGCTTCCAATTCCAATTAGTTATTACTGAATACAACTCAAAATGCTTTCTTACCTGAGATAGAAATATCAAATATTTCTGGGAAAAAAAGTAAGGAGAAGGTAGATTCATTAATTTTCTTTTCCGAATCTCATTCAAATACCCACCTCTACCCATCTCTGAAGAGTTAACCAGGCAGCTACACATATCTGCTATTTCTTTTTACCCATGTCATTCCCACATGAAAAAATAAGCAGATCTAGTGTTTAAGCAATGAGGAGGCAGTACTCAATGAGGCAGTACCCTGTTTGAATAATTTAAGCTGTAGAATAAGAACCGCACAGTGAATGTGGCAAACTCTCTGGTTGCTTTAACCTCACCCAGTCTTATTCATTTCCTGTAGTCACGCATCGTGGCTGAAGTTGGAATTCCCCATTTTATAGCCGTGGTAGAAAGAAATAATCATTTCTTAAAAGAGCTAAACATATTGTGACTTGTTAGTCAACTGTGTTTAAACGCCCTAGTCAATATTTCCTGTTCCAGAAAGACTTGTGGAACAGGTTTTCTTTCTTTTTCTTCATCTCCTCTCGGGTTGGGGAAAGAAGCTGTCATTTCTCGTCTGCCCTCCCCTTCGCTCTCTAGCTTAAATACTCAATTCAACCAATAGCACCAATGAAAACTTGTCCCAGTTAAACCGAAACAAAGCCTGAACCTCCGCTGGATGCATAAAGTTCCAAAGGAAGGGGTTTGTGACAGTGAGGAAGGCACAGTGGTGGAAAGTCGTGGTTAATGTCAGTTGATTTGTAGCGTAGGGTTGGGGGAAAGGAAAAGAAGAGGAAGACGAGGTGGAGCCGCAGGCCCTCGGAGCGCACGCAGAGCTCCCAAGAGAAGGGCCTAATGACTGAACTACAGCATGATTGGGAAGCTGTAAGACCGGCAAAAGTTCTCAGCAAGAAAGAGAGCAAAGCTGGTTTGTTCCAGTGAGTATTTTCTTGTGCCTTCTATGAAGTACTAAAGAAAAAAGCTTTTCTCCATGTAATTTATCACCTTGGTTAGATAAACATTTCTAAGAGAATTCAACATCTGAAAAGTCATGACATATATAACTTTTTTTTTCTATTTATTAACCTGCAGCTTTAGCTCTCTTGCTTGCTTCTGGGTTTTGTGCTGAAAACATACTTCTAAATAAATGTTATATTTAGTTTAGTATTTGTTCTATTCAAATTAAATGCTTCTGTCATCCATTCTGCTTTTGATTTCTCTGTCAGATTTTCCATATTTTTTTAGTCCTAGCTTTTATGTATACTTGTGGGGTTTTTGCTGACCATTACCCAGAAGTTGCTATTAATGATGTTACTACCCACTTATTTTTCAGAGCTGAAAAGATTGATAGGTGACCTGTAGCCTTTTCTGACTAAGCATATATAGCTTAACCAAAATATTTATTCTTCAGTATTCTAACTTCCCTATTTTTAACTTTCCTCCCAGTTCTTTGGTCCCTTTTCTATAGATTATCCAAATACTGTTTCTGCCCTCTTCTCTTCTATCCTGAACCTGTTCTTCTTTCTGACATCATTTTTTCTTTCAATGATGCTACTTTTCTTCCTCACTTCTCATGTTTATTCAGTTATCAAGACTTGTAGATTTTATCTCCACTCTCTCCCCAGTATGTCTCTTCTCTTTGTTCCCACTACTTCCACTTTAATCAGTCCCTCATTTCCACCTGCAATTGCTTATTGAATTGTTCCTGCCTTCCCTTTTCCAAATCATCCTTCCCATCTCTGCCATACTTATTTTCCTTATTCACAAATTTGATCATGTCTTTCCTCTGCTCTGAACTCCTTACCTGACCTACAACAAAGTTCAAACTCTTTTGCTTGGCTTGTAAGTCTTCCCACAATATCATATCACTCTTTCTTTGCAGAATTATCTCACATTACTCTTTTCCACAATACTTGCCATCTCCCAAATTCATACCATACATTCCCACTTCTGTGCTTTCCTCATACTATTTCATATGACTGGAATGAATTTTCTACCTCTTACCTCCTTCACACACACACACACACACACATGCATACACATATGTTAAAACCATACCATTCCTTTAATCTAATTCAAGTTCTACCTCCTCTGGAAAGCTTTCCATGATCCCAATTTGCAAAGTTCTTCTTCACTTAATCAATAAACATTTATTAAGTACCTACTATATGTAGGCACTGTGCTAAGCACTGGGGATACAAAAAGAGGCAAAAGACAGTCCCTGCCTTCAAGGAGTTTACAATCAAAAGGGGGAGATGACATATAAATAAATATATATGAAGCCAGATGTATATTAGGATAAATAGAAAATAATTAGCAGAGGGAAGATACTGTAATTAAGAGGTATTGGGAAAGATTTCCTGTAAAAAAAAAAAAAAAAAAACTAAGAATTTACATATCCCTAATGGTTAACAATGTTTTACTAGATTGTAAGCCCTGTGAAGTCAGGAACCATATATTATGTATGCATTGTATCTTCTTAAATATACTATTCTGCATATAGTAGAAGCTTAATATATGTGGAATAGTATTCTGTAGACGACTTGAGTTGAATATAGCCATCTTATCTTAGAATATTCTCTATTGGAACATAGGAAGGAGACAGAACAGGAATGTATTTCATTTAGTTTTTCTAAGTTGACTATGGAAGCTTGGTTTTGTATTCCTTATCCAGTTAGAAAATCAAGTTGTTTTCCTTCTTTCTTGAGTGTCAATATGTTTCCCTTTGAAGAGGATTCTTAGTTATGTATTTGGCTTCAGTAATTGATTATTCTAATGGCAATTGAATTATTACTTTGTGGAAAAGGCTATCTTGTTTGAAAATTGGAACCATGGAAATATATGCTTACTAAAGATATTTACCAGTGGCATGGACAATGCTCAATGCAGAGTCAAAGTGGAAGAGGGATCTCCTATAGGTGGAGAAATCCTCAGATTACTTATGTGTGTCAAAAACATCATAACTAATTGAATTAAGCCTTAGAATATTGTAGAGCCTCCTAAATGAAATCTATAGTCATTCAAAAAGTTTAGATTAATTCTCAATACCAGAATGACCAAGTAGATAAAGAATAACTCTTGTAAACCCTAAGAACTGATGTATCAGTTCCTTTATATATGCTGGATAAATTCTGCAAATGTATGATAAACTAGATCCAAAATTTAATAGGAGGGGGGAAAAAACAGAATAGAGTGTGTTTGCGAAATTATGCAGTACTTTTAATGAACCCAAATATCTCCCTGAAACAAAAATTCATCTTTTCAGTACAACTGTTCAGATGAAGAGCTATGAATCACAAAACACCACATTTTTTGAAAATTCAAAATTAAACAACAATGTAAAGGTCTATTATGGACACAAATAAGTTACAGCATATTACTCACAAAGAATTATGCACATGAAGTAGCATAAAAGATAATATAAAAGAGACACGTGACCAGAAAAAGAAGTGGGAAAATACTGTTTTTTAGTTTTTGATGGGCAATTGGGGTTAAGTGACTTGCCCAGGATCATAACAGCTAGTAAGTGTTATGTGTCTGAAGCCGGATTTGAACTCATGTTCTCTTGACTCCAAGGCTGGAGCCCTATCCACTGTGCCACCTAGCTGCCACATCAATACTGTTTTAAGGCAAGGGGTAAGAGATGGCAGGCCAGTTTCCATTGACATCTACATAATTTTAGGAGATATTATTTGCCCCCGGCACTTGCATGAGACTCATCTACTGAATCTCAGACTATTTGTCCCCAGCAGTTGGAAAACATAGACCCCTGGTCTTTTTGAGTAATATCACCATTTTGTAACCACATTGATTCCTTTGGGGGGGGAGGAAATGGTTCTGAAAAATAAGTTTTATAGGGAAAAAATGAATTTTCTTATTTCAACTACCTTAATGTAAACAAGGTATGTATATGAATAATAAATACATTTCTACAAATGGAAAAACATATACTTAGCCCTTCCTGGATATTACAGGATGGCAATATTTCTCTTTTAACAAAATGTGCTTTTTTTAAATAAACAAAGAAAGCTGAAATACATTGGCAGTCTTTAAAGAGAGGTCATCTGACCTGTATTTTATTTGTAATGTTGAAGGAACATGATGAAGGGACTAAATGTACAGAGAAAACACTGCATATAAATTGGATTGGAGGAGATAAGGAGCAAAACAATTACTATGTGTAGCTAGATTCCTTAATGTTTCTTTATATTTTATGAGAATTCCCACTGAGCATAAGCCAAACAAAAATATTGTTATGATCTCCAAATGGTAATTTGTTTATATTTCAAATCCAAAGGAGTTCCTCTTACCACCATCCACAATCTTATTTAAATGGAATTCATCAGGTTTGGTCTGATGTTGTGTAATATCAAACTTGGAATCATTCAGTCCACAAGCATTGATCAAGTGCCTATCTGCCTGAGAAAACAAGTTTTGCCACTTAATTTTTTCCCTCCTCAAACTGTAAGATGTTTTTAAATCCCTCAAGAACTGTACTTTAGCTAGCCTTCTTTTAGCCCTAGGTACTTCGAACAGTTTAATATGTATATGTCAGTATATTTGTTTTTTACCTCTCTGGATTCCTCCCAACCTCTTTGGGTATAAACAAAAACAACTAAAACTATGTTTATATTTCTTGTCTAATGACTCATAAATTAGAATTGACTGTTTCAGTAATGCAAGATGATGTTCGTATCATCATTATTGGACAGAAAGTGGTTTTAGATCTGATAGAATACAATATAACATTAGATAATATAATTAGGTAGTAGAAAATCTGAAGTACACTTTATTAGACAGGGAAGGTTGTGTGGTACAGGAGAAAAAATGCTAAACTTGGAGTCACTAGTTGTGAGCTTGAATCCCAGCTTTGCCACTTACCACCTCTCTGACTTAAGCTCTCTGTGACTCTCTTTCCTGATCTGTAAAATGGGAGAGTTGGACTAAGTGACTTATAATGTTATTTATACATCTATGATATTATATTATACTGCAACATCTCATATATCAAGGATAACTCATCTCAAATAGATGGAAATTATTTTATTAGCTTAATTTTAAATTCAATTCAATTGTGTCATTTTAGATTATGTTCATTCAACTGTAGAGTCATAAAATATTAAAGCTAGAAAGTATTGTGGAAAGAGCACTGGACTAGGAATCAGGAAATCTGCTTTAGGTTCCCATTCTGCTATTTCCTGTGTGACAAATAAATAAGTTACTTTATCTCTCTGTTTCTTCATTTGCAAATAAAGATAGGAAACCCCGTGATTACCAATACAGGGCTACACCTTCTCTGCTACATATAACGTTATAGCATTAGAACACTAAAAAGTTAAGGGATTTGCCAGCAAAGCAGGATTTTGAGTTTACTATGACTGTCATCATAAAGCATATTATAAACTATAAAGCATGTTCTAAAATCTCTAGCTTTCTTCAAAGTTTATCTCCAGCACCACTTCTTACTTGAGCCAATCAGGGTGATTCAACTGCTAGAAGGGTGCTTGATTGCGAGACCAGTCAGAATGCTAACTATGGACACCATTTAGCTAAAATGAGAGTAATCAGTTCTAATCCTTCTGGTGAGACAGATTGCCTCCATGCCCTACTACCTGCCCTGCCGCTGATTCCTAAGGTCCTTTGAGCCTTATCTGCCCTGCCTCTTTGTCTTTTAGACCCCAGGGCACAGTCACAGTCACCAGACTAAAGCAACATAAGGACACGTGGGCACCCAGTTGCTGGAACTTTAGACTTCAGTTCCTTTCAATCCTATCTGCAGCTGATTTTTTTTTTTACATGTCTCCCTCAATGAGCATTTGAACTTCTTGAGAGCAGGAACTGTCTTACTTTTAATTATCTGTATTCTCAGTGCTTGACACTGTGAGTGCATAGTAAATGCTTTTCCATTCATTTATTCATTCAGTCAGTCCCAAGGTCT